CACACTTAACCACCGTGCTGCGCCGAGTTTATTGTGAAATTCCCGCAGTGCGCATGAAATAAAGTGTTCCCCCCCAAAAAAATATTTTTAGTAAAATGATAAATTCCCTTCCCTGAACATGTCTATGAAAAAATAAATACCAAATTCCACTTACTTTGGCTGTGGGGACATGGACAAGGTGCACTGTGACATCATCAGGGCCTGGTTGCCCGTGCGTGAATCGCCCAGACACGGTCACGCGGGCCATTCAAGCACCGGGTATTGCCACAAATATATTTTCAATTATTTATTTTATGTATTTCCAATGCAGTTTTATTTGTTGTTTTTTTATTGTATATGATGCATATTTGTGTCCTTTACAATATGTATACAGTAGAACGTTCATAATGTTCCATGGAACTGTGATACATGTGTCAGTAATGTGTCCACAATAAATGCTTATTGCTGCAATATTACCTGTTAAAAATTCACTAAAATTACAATATGTACAGTTTCACACACTATTTACACAGTAACACACTAAGTACTTCGGAAATGAGTAATAATCAACGAAGTAGTCCATGGTACACAGCGCGACTTTGCTCTCAGTGCACCAGATACAGATAAATTTTCTCTTCCTGTTTCTTCATTCTGTGTGCTTGCAAATAATGCACTCATGTACACCCTTGGCTTTAGTACTTGTAGGGTGTATGTAGCCAAGCTTGTAAAGCATAAAGTAGTATTGAAAAGATTATAGGAAAAGATCAATTTGTAAGGTAGTCTTGAAAAGATCGCTTTGTATGGTCCCACACAGGAAGCGCTTCAGCTTACCTCAAGAGTGTCCGTCAGTCAGAAAGAGCTAGCCTCAAAGAGTGTCCGTCAGTTAGGAAGAGATTCAGGTATTCTTGAAAATATTTATGGAAACCACCACCATGACAGCCGCTAAAACTGTTCATCTATGCTACTTGTATCAGATGCATCATCACTGAACGCAGAAAACGATTCATCTATGTATCATCTAAATTTACAGTCTCCGTGGTGTAGTGGTAAGACACTCGCCTGGCATTCCGCGAGCGCTTTGTCATGGGTTCGTATCCTGGCCGGGGAGGATTTACTGGGCGCAAATCCTTAACTGTAGCCTCTGTTGATCAGTCCAGCAACCAGGAGGCCTGGTCGACGACCGGGCCGCGGGGACGCTGAGCCCCGGAAGCACCTCAAGGTAACCTCAAGGTAACCTCTGTTTAATGCAACAGTAAAATGTGTACTTGGTTGTAACAACGATTCTTCGCGGCGGGGATCGTATTCCAGGGACCTGCCCGAAACGCTACACGTACTAGTGGCTGTACAAGAATGTAACAACTCTTGTGTGTATATCAAAAAAAAAAAAATAAAAATAAATTGGAGATAGTATAGGATTGCAAGGGTGACGCTGAGCTGCAACTGGATACGCTCGCTGTATCATCCTCATAGGTGCTGTATCACTTGCATCCGACCTTTGTGTTAGGTCCTTATTGCGCCTAGCTTCACCAATATTATGACCCTTATGTTCTTCAAACAATAAGGTTTGAATTTCACCGACAGAGCGTTAATCTTTCAACACCGCGTCGGACAGGTGTTTGGGAGCCAGAGGCGCGTGCGCCATCCATGGTTGCTCATTCAGTACTAACCCAGCCAGCAGCCCTAGGGCATTCTGGGAATTTTTTCCAAGATGGCTGCCTCTCACTAGAGGTCCTAAGAGTCCATTTCGTACACAACCAACCTCTTACACATTTAGAATTGGTACCGAAAAATCAAAAAGAGTTTTCTCGGTTGGCGCAGTTTCCCGCCGACCGAGAATACTCGGTTGGTGCAGTTAAGTGGTTAATAAAAGTTTTTGAAAAGAGTGATTAGGAATCAAATTTCTAGTTTTATGGAAAATAATGAGTTACACAACCCAGGACAACATGGATTTAGAGCAGGAAGATCCTGTCTGTCACGGTTACTCAACCACTATGACAAAATCACAGAAGCTCTAGAAGAAAAGCAAAATGTAGATGGCGTATACACAGACTGTGCAAAGGCATTCGACAAATGTGATCATGGAGTGATTACACACAAAATGAGGTCAATGGGAATAACTGGTAAAGTAGGACGCTGGATACTTAATTTCCTGTCGAATAAAACACAAAGAGTAACAGTCAATCAAATGAAATCGAGCCCAAGCACAGTTAAAAGCTCTGTACCTCAAGGTACAGTCCTTGCACCACTGCTTTTCCTTATTCTCATGTCAGATATAGACAAAAATACAAGTCACAGCTTCGTGTCATCCATTGCAGATGATACAAAAATCAGCATGGAAATTACCTCTGCTGAAGACATTGAAAACTACATGCAGATATCAACAAAGTTTTCGATTGGGCAGCAGAAAATAACATGATGTTTAACATTGATAAATTTCAGGTAATCAGGTACGGCAAAAATGAGGATCTGAAACATAATACAGGGTACAAAACACAATCGAATCTGCCCATAGTAGGAAAATAGCATGTCAAGGATTTGGGGATAATGATGTCTGACGACCTAACGTTTAGGGAGTATAACCAAGCAAATATTGCGTTAGCCAGAAAAATGATAGGATGGATTACAAGAACTTTCAAGTCCAGAGATCCTATCACAATGGTTGTACTCGTCAAGTCACTTGTGTTGTCCCACCTTGAGTACTGCTCAGTACTCACTTGCCTCTTCAGAGCAGGAGAGATTGCTGAAATAGAGGGAATACAGAGAACATATACGGCACGCATAGACAAGATAAAGCACCTAAATTATTGAGATCGTTTCAAAGCCCTCCAAATATACTCCCTAGAAAGAAGACGAGAGAGATACCAAATAATATACACATGGAAAATACTGGAGGGACAGGTCCCAAATCTACACAGTAAAATAACAACGTACTGGAGTGAACGATATGGAAGAATATGCAGAATTGAACCAGTAAAGAGCAGAGGTGCCATAGGCACAATTAGAGAACACTGTATAAACATTTGAGGTCCACGGTTGTTCAACACCCTCCCAGTGAGCATAAGAAATATTGCCGGAACAACAGTGAACGTCTTCAATAGGAAACTAGAATGTTTCCTCCAAGGAGTGCCGGACCAACCGGGCTGTGGTGGGTATGTGGGCCTGCAGGCCACTCCAGGCAATAGGCTTGTGGACCAAACTCTCACAAGTCAAGCCTGGCCTCGGGCCGGGCTTGGGGAGTAGAAGAACTCCCAGAACCCCATCAACCAGGTATCAACCAGGTTAGCGCCTACCAGAGCCCTCCCTCGATGTGTTCACGGATTCATCGTCTCTTGGCTGGCGCTTTGTGACCAGTGCTCACCAGGGACAGTGGGGTCCGGCTTTCCATCGGGCTCACAGCACGGTGAGGGGGTTTGCAGCTGTGTGGCTGTCACTCTGGAGGATTCAGGTCACTCGTGGATCAATGATTTGTCTCCATTCAGACTGTTCCCTGGTGGTTCATTGCCTGAACCGAGGGGTTCCATGCGGTCCTTGGCTCTTTGGAGCTGGTCGCTTCGGGTGACTCACATGCTGAGTTTTCGGGGTTTGGCTCTCCTGGCGGTTCACTTTTGGGGTGTGTTTAATGTCCTGGCAAACGGCCTATCCACGGAATGGATGGTCAACGTCAACTCGTTCAGTTAGCTCTGTCAGATGTTCGGGCCTCCAGAAGTGGATCTCTCTGCGTCGGTGTGGTCGAGGCGTTTCCCGGTATACACGGCACCGTTCCCCAACTGCTAGGCCGTCGAGGTCGACACCTCCAGGCAGGACTGGGCGAGGTGTGGTTACCTGTACAGTACAACCTCGATTCAACGAATCTCCATCTAGTTTGCACACTTTTCAGGCCGGATTTACTCACCCGGTTTGACAAACAATTGTTCGCCGAAGTGGGGGGATGTTTTGATTTGCTTACGATGTCGAGACAGAGTTCACAGACTGGTGGAAAACTTTCCCATTCTATCACAGATTACAATTAAAAATCCGCTCATATGACAAGTTGGACCACACAAGTGGACCGCACAAGTGGACCACACAAGTAGACCACACAAGTGGACCGCCCATGTGGACCACAAGTGGACCGCACATATGGACCACAAGTGGTCCACAAGCCTACGATGTTGGGACAGAGTTCACAGAGTGGTGGAAAACTGTCTTATTTTATCTATAATTAATATTTCCTTCATAAGACAAGTTGGATCACATAAATGGACAACACAACAAGTGAACCATATGAACCAAACAACCCAGAATGGTCCACACAACAAGTAAAGCATATTAACCAAACACCAGCCAGAGTGGTCCACACAAGTGAATGACTGAGTTTCAATGATTTTCGTTCACTGATTTGTGGCACACATATCTTTGTAAATTAATTTAAAGGCTGAAGCGTGAATAGCTTGCTAATGTGTTGAAATCTTCTTATATACATTTTCTGTGATGAAACAAGATGAGTGAGGGTGGACAGATAGGGGAATACTGTACTGTAAACCTCACTGTAACTCACTTGGTGGGGGGGGGGGGGGGGTGCAGACAGCAGCGTTGCAACGTTATGATATCATACTCGTTTGGGGAGTTCTGTCCACTCGTTCGGTTTTCAGTAGCAATATTTTCACCAGAATTGGAGGTTTGTTTTGGGGCGCATATCTTTCCGGATGCCAGACCCAGTCGAAAGCAGATACATTATAGAATACTCCCAACCACATGGGGGTTTCTATAGGCCATTGCTCCTCATGCTTCTCTGAGGGGGGCCAGGTTCTGGCTCGTGGTCCCTGGTAGGCAAGAACTCCATGCACTTTAACTGATGCCAGAAAGCTAATAGTTACATATCAGGCTGGATAGCTCTGGGGAGCCGCCGGGGCTCACCCAGAAAATGGCATTTCATTACATTTAACGCTGGTTTTTGGAAGCTTCTGAAATTAGCATGCACATGTCAGCCTATATTGGACTAAATATTTCACTAATTTTGGTCATAAATTTTTTTATTGCAGAATAACCAGGCAAATGACAAAGCAGACTCCTCAATATTTTATGTAACGACTCCAGTGGATCCGGTAATAGTAAATATTGCAGACTCTCCAGAGGTTACCACGCAGCGCCCGCATCGCTTTGTCATCAGTACATTCACTGGACTCCACTGGTAATATGTGTGTGTAATTACCTAAGTGTAGTTACAGGATGAGAGCTACGCTCATGGTGTCCCGTCTACCCAGCACTCTTTGTCATTTAACGCTTTGAAACTACTGATGGTTTTGGCCTCCACCACCTTCTCACCTAACCTGTTCCAACCCTCTACCACTCTATTTGCGAAAGTGAATTTTCTTATATTTCTTCGGCATCTGTGTTTAGCTAGTTTAAATCTATGACCTCTTATTCTTAAAGTTCCAGGTCACAGGAAATCTTCCCTATCGATTTTATTAATTCCTGTTACTATTTTGTATGTAGTGACCATATCACCTCTTTTTCTTCTGCCTTCTACTTTTGGCATATTTAATGCATCTAAGCTCTCCTCGTAGCTCTTGGCCTTGAGTTCTGGGAGCCACTTAGTAGCATGTCTTTGCACCTTTTCCAGTTTGTTGATGTGCTTCTTAAGATATGGGCACCACACAACCGCGGCATATTCCAGCTTTGGCCTAACAAAAGTTGTAAACAATTTCTTTAGTATATCACCATCCATGTATTTAAAAGCAATTCTGAAGTTAGAAAGCGTGGCATAGGGTCTTCGCACAATATTCTTTATGTGGTCCTCAGGTGATGGTTTTCTATCTAGAACCACCCCTAGATCTCTTTCTTTATCAGAATTCTTTAAAGATTTCTCACATAATATATAGGTTGTGTGGGGTCTATGTTCTCCTATTCCACATTCCATAACATGGCATTTATTAACATTAAATTCCATTTGCCAAGTGGTGCTCCATATACTTATTTTGTCCAGGTCATCTTGAAGGGCATGACAATCATCTAAGTTTCTTATCCTTCCTATTATCTTAGCATCATCAGCAAACATGTTCATATAATTCTGTATACCAACTGGTAGATCATTTATGTAAACAATAAACATCACTGGTGCAAGAACTGAACCCTGTGATACTCCACTTGTGACATTTCTCCAGTCCGATACATTACCTCTGATCACTCCCCTCATTTTTCTATCAGTCAGAAAATTTTTCATCCATGTTAGAAGCTTACCTGTCACCCCTCCAATATTTTCCAGTTTCCAGAACAACCTCTTATGTGGAACTCTGTCGAAAGCCTTTTTTAGGTCCAGATAGATGCAGTCAACCCAACCATCTCTTTCCTGTAATATCTTTGTTGCTCAATCATAGAAACTGAGTAAATTCGATACACAGGATCTTCCAGATCGAAAACCATATTGTCTGTCTGATATTATATCATTTCTCTCCAGGTGTTCTACCCATTTAGTTTTAATTATTTTTTCCAATATTTTTGACTATTACACTTGCCAATGATACAGGTCTATAATTAAGGGGTCTTCCCTGCTTCCACTTGTGTAGATTGGAGCTATGTTAGCCTTTTTCCATATATCAGCTACAACTCCTGTAAACAGGGATGCCTGAAAAATCAGTTGAAATGGAATGCTGAGCTCAGGTGCACATTCTCTCAGAACCCATGGTGAAACTCCATTTCCATTCCAAAGTGGAAATTCACGAACTGCGTCCTCCTCTCTCCCTTCTACGGCGTTGGTCCCATTGCAGTCCTGCCTTCAGCTGTTTTGGGGGCACCCAAGTTTCTCAGCAGTTGCTCGAGCAGTTGTGCGGGAGCCTGGACTTTCCCATGCTGGTTTACCCACTTCGGAGGATGTTCTGGTATTTTCGGGGCAGCCTCTTCAGCCTCTCTCGCGACTGCTGGTTTCACTACCCGGTGTCTTTCCATGGGTTGCTGAATCACCAGCTTCCTCTTCGGGTTTTCGGGGGTTCAGTGCCATGGTGCCTTGCCCTTCCTGCGCTCGATGTTTCCATCGGGCTCACAGTACGGTGTGAGAGTTTTCAGCTGTGTAGCTGGTGTTGCGGTGGATTCTGCTTCCTCGAGGCTTTCTGATCCGGCTCCATTTGGATTGCACCCGTTTGGTTCCTTGTCTCAACCATGGGAGGGTGGGGTCTCTATGGTCTGTGGCCTGGGCTGCTCACATCCGGTCGCTTTTTTGGTAACCCTCCAAACAAAACGTAAGTGGTCCTATTTTCCGCTTGTTACGAGTTGTAATAAATTTATTAATCTTGAAATAAAGTTTTTATGATGTATTAGAACGTTGTTACAACTTGTTAGGAGGTGTTAAAGCTTGTTTGAATCTTGTAGCAATGTTATTGTTTTGTCGTTTGTTTGGAGGGGAGATCTTGGGGTTTAGCTCTTTGTACCAGTCCTATTCGGGGAGTGTCCAGCATCCTGGCAGATAGCCTGTCGTGCTTCATTCCCCTGTAGATGGAGTGGACGGTAGACACCGCCTCCTTCCTTTGGCTTTGTCAGATGTACGGGCGCCCAGGGATGGACCCCTTCATGTCGGCAGTCTCTCAGTGTATGCAACCCGTTCTCGCACTTTCTTACAGTCAATATTGACTTATTAAATAAGTGCATATGTGACATACTAATTAATGTGAATATTTTAGTTTGAAAAGCTTCGTAGAAAACACCGACCTTACTTAACCGTCTTAGTATGTTAAGATAAGCATCTTATTGCTTCGTAATTACAATTATTACTTAACCTATACCTATAATAGGTTAAGTAATAATTGTAATTACGAAGCAATAAGATGCTTATCTTAACATACAGTACTAAGAAGGTTAGGTAAGGTCGGTGTTTTCTATGAAGCTTTTCAAGGTAAACTAAAATATTCACAATAAATTAGTATGTCACATATGCACGTATTTAATAAGTCAATATTGACTATATGAAAGTGCGAGAACGGGTTGTGTATTCCTACATATGTGGCAGTGTTTCCCAACTGAGAGGCCTTCGTGGTAGACGTTTTCTGGCAGGGCTGCTCTAAGTGGGGGTTCCTATTATCCCCCGGTTCAACTGTTGCTTCGGGTTCTGGCTCGGCTGGGATCCCATCAGGTAAAGGTGCTTCTCTTGTCCCCATGGTGGCAAAGAGAACTAAGCTCCTCGGCTCTGCCCCGAAGCCAAGTTTGGAGGCTTCTGGGGTTGGGGAGGAGTCAACTTCGGGTGCGTGTGCCCCCTTATGATCCTGCCTGGGCCTTGGTGCCTTTGGGGTTTTCATATTCCCTTTCCTTGTACAAGTTTGATATGGGTTCGGCTCCTCCCCAGGTTCATTTCCGGGTTCCCTTGGGTTCTGCGGCTTTGTCTTTCCGGAGGTTTTTCCACCTCGAATTTTCCCTGCGGAGGTTCAGGAGGCCCTTGGTTCATACCTCCTGTGAGACCCAGACTTTGCCTCTGTGGTGGACTCTGTCTTTTTTTAGTTCGGGTCTTCTTTCCCGTATTGGGTGCATTATGAGGTTTAGGAATCTTCCTGGCTTGCGGACTGCCCTTTCTTTTCACTTGAGGGCGTGGCATGGGTTCTGTTGTACTTGCATGCTTGAATGGCAAAAGCTTACTACGGTATTGGAGGTTTACCTTGGGGTGCTTTTAGACACCTCAATGCGTGCCCCTGTGTTTCCTCGTGAGGTAGGCTTGCTACAGTTGCACGCCCAGGTCCCTTCCCTTTTAGTTGCGGAGGATCTTTGCACTTGTGGGCATCTAGCCTTAGTCCTGCGATTTTTCTCCCTTCTCGAGCTGTTCTCAGACTGGCTTGTTGAGGATGTGGAGGTGCTGAGTGCTGGGCCGTCGTCTGGGGCGTTGGCCTCGGCGGCATTGCTGAAACTGTTTGCACCTATCCTTCAGAAGGCGGTGTCTCTGTGTTTTGCCTCTCACCTCGCGTGTCGGCATGCTGTCCTCTCTCACACTATTGATTTGGCTTGGGCCCTAGCTCTTGAGTTTTCATTTCCCTTCTGTCCGTTATCGTTTTTCAGACTGTTGTGATTCAATTTTTGCAGGCGGCTTCTGCTAGTTGCTGTTTTCTTTCCGATTTGTTGGTGATCTGGGGTGGGTGTTCACGTGTCTCCCTCTTTTCTGGCAAAGAATGAGACGGCAGGCTTCCAGGGGGTCTGTGGGTTTTTTTAAGCTTGATTGGTCAGGCCGGGGGTGCATTATGTTTTGTGTCCGGTTGTGGCTTTATGCCATTACCTGAGTGCTTTGGGTTGACCTAGTTTCTCTTGTTCCCTGTTCCAAGGCTCAGGTCTCAGGTCATCTGCAGGGATATTAAGTCTAGCCAGCCTGCAGTCTACCCTCGCTCCCATGATGTTCGTAAGTTCTCAGCTTTGGCTGCTGTGTTTGACAATATGTCTTGGGCGGATATTCGGGCGTGGGGGTTTTGGAGATCGAACGTGGAGTTGTTCTAGGTATGACCCCATGTTCCCATTATCTAGGTATCTGTAATATACAGGGGCCCCTCAGCAGTTGTGTCGCCTTGGGTCGGTAGTTACAGCCTATTGTCTCATCCCTTTCAATTTTCTCTTTGGGTAGTTAGCTCCATTGAACTGTTGGAGCTTCCCCCCCCTCAGAAAACCAGGGTTGAATGTAATGAAATGCCATTTTCTGGGTAGAGCCCCAGATGGTGGCTCTATCCTGGCACCCCCTCCCTTTCCCCCTGTTGGCGGTTTTTGTTTCCGTTTTTCAGCCTCCAAACTGATGGGCCGGCTGCCAGCTTGGTGGGCTGGGACCCTCCCCTCTCCCCCTCCTGGTGTCGACACTAACAAGCAGTGTGGTGTGATGTGTTGCTTGTTTGCTTGTTTTTCTTTTCTCTGGGGAACAAAACTCCCTTCTGTTTAGTCTCAGGTTGCAATAGTTCTACCAGGAGTCTGTTTTGAAGCTCCTACCTTTATGGGTGCTCAACCCCGGTCGATGGCAGAAATGAATGCTTTCGTACATGTGGGTTTCATAGGTTAACACTTTCGCGCTTTAGATTAGAGATAACTCGTCGCTGTTTTTTCTTACGATTCCGCATAACAGCCTACTTTTCTCGTCAATCGAAAAAATATTTCTATAAATTCCATTTTTTAACCGAAATGGATGGGGATACTTTTGTTTTGTAGAGAATTTATTTGCGAATTTTTTGGTACCAGAATGAATATTATATCACATAAACTTCTATGAGTAAAAAAAAAAATACACAAAGTATGTTTGGGGGTGTGGCGAGCGTGTGGCAGTGGGTTCCCTTTAGCCGTTGATATATCCAACACGTGGGAAATATTTGTATGTGTTATGTATATGTCTGTGTAGGGAATTTTACTGCGATCACTGTCATACAAATTATAAAATGTTTCAACAAGTATAAACATGACAAACATCAAACGAACGAAAACAATGCGTTCGTTTCTGCCGCGAACGCATACTGAGCGACGTGGTTCTATATTTGGCGCTTCTCTTACACATGCTTTGTACAAATGTTATACAGTTCATCTTATAGAAAATTTTATTGCGAACACATTGGTATAAAAAAGAAATACGTACATAGAAAAGTAGGGTCAGGAAACGTATAAACTTTCCAAGCATGATTTCCCCCCTGTGTTTTCGCCAGTGCGCTCGCGGCTAACTACTCTCCACTTCACACACTCTTGCGGGTGGGCAATTACCTATATTAAACATTCATATGCATATGTCCGTGTAGAGAATTTTATTGCGATTCCAATGACACCAAAATTAGCGATGTAGGACAACTGTAGGCTTCGCAACCATTAAGAGAGTGGAAACATTTTGTTGCTGTTTGGCGCTCTCGGCGAGTGATCTGCATAGTTTTTTATTTGGTGTTGATACTCCTTATGCTTGGGCGGCATTTTATAGGTATGCTCTTATAGACAATTTCATTGCGAACACAGTGATACCAAATTTAAATACGTGCGCCTTCAATTGTTGTCAGGACAGTCAAAAGAGTGTACACTTTTTCGGTCTTACCGCGTAGGCGCGCGAAGTGCCGAAAGCATCTGGGGTATTGTTTTTTTTTTGAGCGCCGAGAGCGCGAAAGTGTTAATGAGTCAGCCTCCACCACATCACTTCCTAATGCATTCCATTTGTCAACCACTGTGACACTAAAAAAGTTCTTTCTAATATCTCTGTGGCTCATTTGGGCACTCGGTTTCCACCTGTGTCTCCTTGTGCGTGTGCCCCTTGTGTTAAATAGCCTGTCTTTATCTACCCTATCAATTCCCTTCAGAATCTTGAATGTGGTGATCATGTCCCCCCCTAACTCTTCTGTCTTCCAGCGAAGTGAGGTTTAATTCCCATAGTCTCTCCTCGTAGCTCATACCTCTCAGCTCGGGTACTAGTCTGGTAGCAAACCTTTGAACCTTTTCCAGTTTAGTCTTATCCTTGACTAGATATGGACTCCATGCTGGGGCTGCATACTCCAGGATTGGCCTGACATATGTGGTATACAAAGTTCTGAATGATTCTTTACACAAGTTTCTGAATGCCGTTCGTATGTTGGCCAGCCTGGCATATGCCGCTGATGTTATCATTTTGATATGTGCTGCAGGAGACAGGTCTGGCATGATATCAACTCCCAAGTCTTTTTCTTTATCTGACTTCTGAAGAATTTCCTCTCCCAGATGATACCTTATATCTGGCCTTATTATATCTGATACTTATATCTATATATATGTGTGTGTGTGTGTGTCTGTGTGTGTAATTACCTAAGTGTAATTACCTAAGTGTAGTTACAGGATGAGAGCTACGCTCGTGGTGTCCCGTCTTCCCAGCACTCTTTGTCATATAACGCTTTGAAACTACTGACGGTCTTGGCCTCCACCACCTTCTCACTTAACTTGTTCCAACCGTCTACCACTCTATTTGCGAAGGTGAATTTTCTTATATTTCTTCGGCATCTGAAGTGTGTGTGTGTGTGTGTGTGCGCGCACACAATTGACGATCACGAAACACTGATCATTTGTATGTGGAAAATCCACAAAGAAATTGGAAAGGAAGATGAACGTTTCGGTTGCTTTACAGCCGTTGTCAACACCAGACTGACTAGGAGAAACAAAGGGAGGGTAGAGGTCAACAGCTGAATATGACCACATATCCCCAGGTAAAGAATTACCCAGAAGCAGGTATAGATTTAGCTTAGAATAATAGGGTTAAGCGGTCAGAGAATAAGGATGAAAGATTAAAGCTTCAATGAACACACAATATATATGAATATAATATTGAAATGAGACATAGTAACCCTTTCAGAGTTTTTTCTTAAACTGTTGTGCAATATTGTAACTTAAAAATGGATCACGTTTGTACATACCAGTACTAACATTGATAAGATTTGGACACCGACTGATTAAGGCAGACTATATTATATTCCGTTCCACGAAACCACCGCAATTAGTAATGCTTTTCGCTCCATCCCACTTAATAGTGTGATCACACAAACTCGTTTGTAGTTACAATGCACTAGACGGTTGGGCAGTTCTGATACTATAAGCATGTTGTGACAACCGCAATTGTAAGGAGTTTCCTGTTTGTCCAAGGTACACAGAATCACAATCATAGGGAATCGAATACACACAACCTGCTGTATCAGGAGTATTTTTTATTAAATTGGACTTGATCGTACTATTAGTGAACACCATATTGATATTAAGTTTCTTAAAAACTGGGGAAAGTTTTTCAAGTCCAATCGCATAAAATACCACCAATGAGTTTCTAATTTTTGGTTTCACTTTGGGAACATGATTATAAAACGTACGCTTAGCTTTCCGAACGAGCAATCCAAAAATATTTTAGGGTATTGTAAACTCTTCCCAATTTCATATATTTTCGTAATCTCTTCATCAAAAAACTCTGGGCTGCATACCCTCAAAGCTCGAAGAAACATTCCTGAAAATGTATTTTCAGGAATGTTTCTGCGAGCTTAACGGCTGTAAAGCGGCCGAAACGTTCACCTTCCTTTCCAATTTCTTTGTGGATTTTCCGTACACACACACACACACACACACACACACACACACACACACACACACACACACACACACACACACACACACACACACACACACACACACACACACACACACACACACACACACACACACACACACACACACACACACACACACACACACACACACACACACACACACACACACACACACACACACACACACACACACACACACACACACACACACACACACACACACACACACACACACACACACACACACACACACACACACACACACACACACACACACACACACACACACACACACACACACACACACACACACACACACACACACACACACACACACACACACACACACACACACACACACACACACACACACACACACACACACACACACACACACACACACACACACACACACACACACACACACACACACACACACACACACACACACACACACACACACACACACACACACACACACACACACACACACACACACACACACACACACACACACACACACACACACACACACACACACACACACACACACACACACACACACACACACACACACACACACACACACACACACACACACACACACACACACACACACACACACACACACACACACACTAAATAAATAAATAAATAAAATACGGGTACCACCTTTAGTGCAATTGTAGGTTTTTGTTTTGTGCAATTGTTTATTTTCTTCTTCGAGGCTGTGCCACAGCCTCGAAGAAGAAAATAAAGAGTATTCAGAGAAGACCTTGTGGATTCTCACTGAACACTTTAATCTTTTCTTCTTCTACCACCCCCTATTACTTTTATTTATATATATATATATATATATATATATATATATATATATATATATATATATATATATATATATATATATATATATATATATATATATATATATATATATATATATATATATATATATATATATATATATATATATATATATATATATATATATATATATATATATATATATATATATATATATATATTTTATTTATTTATTTATTCTCTCTTACCAATGATGTGTTTCAGGTGTGGGTTTTGTGGTCATTTCCTCTGGGGTATTGTGTCTCAAGGTGTCAAGTGTCAAGATTGTGGTGTTCGGGCTCACAAGCAATGTAGCTGCAAAGTCCCTAATGATTGCTGCCCTGACCTCAAGGATCTTCAAAGTGAGTTACAGAATATATTGGTTTGCCATTGTTTTTTTAGAATTTAAAGAGTAAACTTATTGAGCAAAGTTTATTTTGAGTTAGATATTATTGGCCTGCTTAACCCCTGGCCTGCTCTTGCAATTATAGCCTGCAACACCCACGGGCGCAAGAAATAAAACAATAAATATAAAAATATTTAGTCTTATAAATGTGGTTCCCTGATCATGGGAAAAATAATGAAAGAAATCATAGGTGGTATATTTTGGCCGCAATATGGCGGGAAAGTCTCGCAAAAAAGAGGCGTCGACAGAGCAACGTGGAGGTCGCCGTTTTGACCTCTACGTTGACCGGCGTGGAGGTCAACCGTTCTCCCAGACCTCCCGGGGAGGGGGGGTTGCACAGACGCATGCGCGACAATTGTGGTGACGTCATCTTTGCTTCCTTGTTTTTGACTGGAGAGTTCTGTTTGCTAGTTCAGCTTTTGGTTTGCAATTTTTAACCAGCTGTAGTTTGTTTTGTAATTCCTACCTTTCTGGTTGGCTGACTTTGTAGATGGCAGACAAAGACTGCTTCCAATTACACAGGGGTGTCTTTAGGCCATTGCTCCTCGTCCCTCTCGAGAGGGGGGCCAGATTCTGGCTCTGGTCCCTGGTAGGCTTAGAACTCCTTCGATTGACTGTTGCCACAGTCTAACATATACACATCAGCCCAGTATAGCTCCGAGAAGCCTCTGGGTCTCGCCTAGAAAATGGCGTTTCATTACATTCAAGGCTGGTTTTTTGCTTTTATTCACTATATTCAGACATTATATATAAGTATCTACAAGTTTTATTCGCCATAACTGTACAACTAAGCTGGTATGGTGAGTTGAGGCAATAAGAGAGATCGCCACACACAGTCAGCAGGCAGCTGCCTCCCTCACTGGTTCAAGGCCAGGCACACTAACATTTCTCCCTCTAACAATACTGTTTGTGGTGTTATTTCACTATATACACACATTATATATAAGTATCTACATGTTTTATTCACCATAACTGTACAACTAAGCTGGTATGGTGCCCAAAGAGCATAGTGACCACCGGACACAGCATGACATGTCATACAGACGACACCACCTCCCTCACCAAAATGGCTCCTCCCAACATACTCCTTTTGCTGTTATTACACTAATACACATGTTATAATATAATTATCTACATTTGTGTTCACCTACATTTATTAGGAATGAGCAGTGATTTTAATATTGTATGAAAGTAATGGTGGGAACATAGCAAGTGTAAGAATTAAAGGAATATCAGTCTACTAATTGTAGTGGACAAAGTGTATGGCAGGAGTGTAAATGAAAGAGTCTGGGAAATTAGTGAGTAATTGGATGTTGATGTAGAAGGTAGGTTCAATGGAGGAAGTGGATGAAGGAGTCATGTGAGACAGTTTGTATGGTGTACATGGTATTAATAAACATAGAGAAAACATGACAAAGGTAATAGAGAAGGACTGAAGAGTGATGAGCATGTTCGGAGTTACGTGCATGTCAGGACTGTGTAATATCTCTGTAGTTGTTCAATACATATATGAATGAAGTCATGAGGAAGATCAAAGTAAGAATCTTGTTTACCCCTTAAAAGGCGCAATACATATATAACGGGTGAGTAACTATTGCGGGACAGTGCACCACAGCTATATATGGTTGGGAGTACCACGTGAGATTTAAAGTCCCACGGCTACATAGGGTTCACATCAGCTTCCTCAGGGTTCTAGTAAATAGATGCCATTTAAAAACAAATCATGGGCAACATTCCTGGGAGTGAGAGCCTCAGTACTGAGTGAGCCACCAAGGCTGGCACACACAGTATGAGCTAACAGCATTGCTGTTCAGCTAGTGACCACAGCATCACCTAAAAATTTCAAAATAAATGTTTAACTGGTATTACCTGGCTACCCTGGCTTTGCGCCCTGGAAAGGCCACTTCAGACCGACAATCAGAGCACAACTCCATAGTCTCCTATGACTGGTGGATACCTATTATGGTATTATTTAGCCATGATAGTACTGTATTACAGAAGAGCCTGACTGTGATAAAGACTGTGTACACTGTTCGGATATCAGTGAACACAGTGCTAGCCACAGCACACTACCATTGTTTTGTCCATCTAATAATCTTCAAATGATTTATCATGTTCCTTTACAAAATAAACTTGTGGAAAATTATTCATTTACAGGATTTAGTGACCAGGATTCTGATAATAGCAGGATTGTGGTGAGAATTAGCGATGTACATAGTATGGTGGGAGGTGTATTCTTGGTGAGGGAGGGAGGGAGGGAGAGATGGTGTCGCCTGCTAGCTGCTGTATTACTTGGCATGCAGTGTATGGTGGTCAAGTTTGTCGATACGCGTATGGGTGACCTAGCACGTGGTTCCTGGTGGCACTGTCACCCGTGCTTCAGTTTACCAGTGCCTCCCGCTTAGTGACGATTGCGCATGAATTCTTTGTAAAGAATTTCATTTTTTTTTTTTTTTTTTTTCTTTGTGTTTTGAACATAAAAGTAACTATATATCATGCCATGGGTCCCAAGAAAGTCAATGGTAAGGTTCAACCTAAGAAAACACATGTGAGGATGACCATTAAGGAAAACAAGATATCATTCATAAACATGAAAATGGTACACAGTTTAACTAGCTAGGCAGTATAACAAATCTTCAGGGGAGGAAGAGGCAGTAGAGGGTGTCCCTTCCTCATTAATTAAGAAAATGTGTGCAGTATGGGAAGAACTGCAAAGTTTTGCTGAAAAGACTCAACCAAATAAAGCTTTAGCAAGCTGTTGCATTGACCTTATTAATGACAATGTGATGTCTTGCTACAGACAAGTGTTAAAATGTAGGGGAAAAACAAATGTCTTTAGACAGATTCTTAGTAAGACAAGCAAGCAGTGAGCCACAACCAGTTTCTATTGGTATGCCTACAAAACGTAGGAGAGAGAGAGAGAGTACTCCCGAGAAGGCATCAGTGCCTGTTGTTATAATGGAAGGGGACTCCCCTTCTAAACAGTAACACCTCTCCTCCTCCCCCCCTCCTCACCATCTTCCATAGGCCAACAAGTCATCAATAAAGGTAAGCTATAACTTGTACATTCTTTAGTACTAAATAATTGTGTGAATTAGGTATGAAAAGTATTTTTAAGTTAATATTTTTGGAAGTGTGGAACGGATTAATTCAATTTACATTATTTCTTATGGGAAAATTTGTTTCGGGTTGCGAATTTTCGGGTTACGAACCATCTCTGGGAACGGATTAAATTTGTAAATGGAGGAGCCACTGTATATATAGGTGACCCTTGTGTGAAAGGTGTATTTAGAGGTTAAAAAATTCCCGACTCTCATCACTTACATTTATTGTGTTAAATTTGAAATGATTATGTGCAAAATTTCCAGTACAGTATTAACACTTTGGCGTACCCCGCGCGCCACCCTTCAACTCTGCGATATGGGACCCAGGGTGTCACGGGAGCGCGCGTTAATTCTGAAAAGTGTATACTCTCTTCAACTTGTCACCTTAATTCTCATCCTACGAGATTAAATTTGGTATCATTGTGTTCGCAATAGAATTCTCTACAGCACTAAATGCATATAAACTCCAAAAGCCCGGCTAATTACCCGCAGCAAACAGAGAAAGTGCGAATGAGTTACCCAGGAGTGCGCAAACGCGATAAAATGTTTTCACTATTTTCACTCTTGTCACATCAATTTTTGTCCTAGGTCTTTCATTTTGGTCTCAATGGGTTCGCAATAGAATTCTCTAGAGGAACATTAGCATATAAAATAAAAAACCTGGTCACGCTCCAACCGCCGACGAGTTGAAGACGGGCCACACGTTAGCCGCGAGTGAGTGCTCAGACACCTTCCAGCTACACTCCCAATTCCCTTCCTTTTCAAGCCTTTCTTTCGCAATTTTCTTCCTGGAAGGGCCTTGTTCATGATCACTATCCATAGTGGAGTAAGCATAGATAGTTTCTAAAGCCGCAGTAAGAAATATAGCCACGGAAAATAGGCGAAATGTTCACACGTTTGAGATGTGAGGGGAGGAGACATTGGTCACAACAGTGGAGCGAAAACAATGGGCCGACGGCGTGTGCCAAGCCACCTGAGGGCCACGAGGCTCAACAAAGAAAATGGGAAGACATCGGCGCACATTTTAATACCAGTCCCCAAAAAATTGGATAAAAACCTGATTTTTGGCGATTATTTAAAGTGGATGACGCAATGCTGCATCATCCCCGGTATTACCGCCAGTAAATGGATGACGCGATGCTGCGTCATGCCCGGGCGAAAGTGTTAAACCTCAGTTCTAGTGGCTGATGCTATAGGCGAAGGTCGTGTGCTCTGGCTCCGGTGTCGCTACAGCACTGTGCTTCGTGTGTGGTGTTTGTTTTTGTGGGTGCGAGAGCCAGGAGTTATCTTCAGTACTCGGGCTGCATGAGCCTAGGGCTGCCTTCCCTAGGTGCCCTGTAAGTTCTGCCCTTGGGGCTTGGGGCCACCTTCCACAGGCTCCTCGGGGTCTGCCTCTGCTGGTCCGTTTTACCTTTCGGTTTTTCGGCCGCCTGTTGGGCTCTTGGGTGTTCTGTTCTCCCTTGTTACCGGCAGGTAAGAGGCAGTTTGCACTGGTAGGGGCGCAGGGTGCTGCACAGCTTGTATTCCCCGACATCGCGGCCGGCTCTGTTCCTTGGGGTTCGCTGTCCTCTTGCGGGGTTTTGTTTTTGTTTTTGTTTTTGCCTGGTGGGGGATTCTGCCATTTTATTCTGTTAGTTTTTGCCCTTCCACTGTTCTCCTCGGTGGCGCCCCCTGCTAGATCCCCGTGAGTGTACACGTCCCTGGGGTACAGCTATAGAAGTTTGCTTGGTAGTTTTGGGCGCCGGTTTGCAGCACCCTGCCTGGGACTACCTGAGCGCGAGTCCTCTTAAAGTAAACGCTCGGAACCCTGGGAATCCCCTAGGGGGCGCGTGGGTCCGATGCATGTGACCCC